TATTTTCCGTGGGCAGCTTGCGCTAGTATTTGCTCGGCTATGATGTGTAGGTCTCTCCTTTTTTTTCTTACATTTTCTTTTCACTTAATAATTCAGAGGCGTGGGTCTCTTTATCGATCGAAGAACGAGTTTGTTTTGATTTGTCTAGTTTTCTAAGGATGTGTTGAGAAGCAACTACTCTCCAATGCGTGCCCTTAAACCTCCCGCATTCGTCCGGACCGAGCGTTCCGAACCTCTATTCAACGGAGTCTCGCATCTGTTTGTGAACCATTCCGGACTCCTGTCTTTTCGCAAACCGGAACCAAACCAAGGGCTTTGCGAAAATCCGGACACCAGCCATGTCGAACTTAACATCCCCAGGCCCACCCAAAAAAGAGGTGGAGCTCACGCTTTTGGAACTGGACGAACTGTTTCCACGGCAAAATCACTCTTTCTCAACCCTCTCCTGTTCCATCCCGTCCTCTTTGCCACCGCCACCGCCACATGGAGGACCTGTACGAAAAGTTGTAAGAGACGGTGGTGGAGGATCCGGCGAAGTCGGCCGCCCGCAAGATCAACTCGGTGACACGACAAGATTGTCGGCTCAGACGGAAGGCAAAGGCACCGCCGCTCAAGAAGTAGAAGGCCGGCTGGCTGTGTCCCGGACTGGGGTCTCTCATCACCTCATCTCCCGGACTGGTGGGCCAGGCGGAGGACCCTCACGTCGGTACACCAGTGGGCCACGTTCAGCCCTGTAGCGTCTACAACTTGTTCTCCTTGGACGTAGCCGACTAGGATGTAACCCTAGACCCTCCCCCCCCCGGTATCTATATAAAACGAGGGGTAGGGAACGTAGAGGTGGCACAACAATCTCAGGGTAGATTGACTGTACTTTGTACTCCATCTGAATACAACAACAATCTCAAGGTAAACCGATGGGAGTCCACAACCCAGGAGTTGCAACTCTCGTCCTCGACCGCATAATCGACGGCTATCACCTATGCAAATCTTGATGGATGGAGGTGTTGAACATATCCTACGATGCCATAGTTGGTTAGGGGTATTCTGTTACGGAGATAGAATAGAATCATGTTGTTTAACTTATCTCTCTCTCTCTACCCCTTGTACTCCAAGCTATGATTAGCTTAAACTGTATGCGCCTACGGGGTAAGCCTCATCATGTCAATAAATACCCACACGCGGCCCTCTACGGAGGGTAATATGCTTCCCACAATTTCTACATGGTCATCAGAGCTACCTTTCCTTACGTTCTAAAAAAACATCTAACGAAAAACAACTCCCATGGTGTACCCCTCCTCGAACCCACCTTCCTCCAGCCTTGGTCAGGTCATAGAGAAGCTAACCAGGGAGAAATATCTCCTCTGGAGGGCACATATATCGTGCCTCACTTCCTTGGCGCTGGCCTGGACGGCTACCTTGATGGCTCCATCGTCGCACCAAAGAAGCTCATCACCGCCAAGACAAGGAGGGCAAGGACCAGACCATTGCCAACCCGGCGTATGACGCGTGGGTCAGGCATGACCAGCAGGTCATCAGCCACATCCTCAACAATCTGTCGAGGGATGTGCTTGTCTTCGTCATCTCCATCAGGACAATACACGCTTTGTAGACCTCTCTCAGTAACATGTTTGCATCATGATGAGTGATATTTTTACACTCATTTCACTTTGTTTAAACAAAGTTTGCCAATTTTTGCATGCTCCTACCACCTTGCATTGGACTGCTGCTAAACGTATTCTCAGATATGTAAAGCATACAACTGGTGAGGGACTAATATTCAGTAGGTCTCATTCTACTCTTATCAGTGGTTTCACTGATGCTGGCTGGGCTGGGTGTATAGATGACAGAAGATCCAAAGGTGGTTTTGCAACATTTTTGGGTCCCAATCTAATATCATGGTGTGCAAAGAAATAGGTAACTATCTCCAGGTCTAGCACAGAGGCTAATATAAGGCGTTGGCCAATGCTACATCAGAGATTATATGGCTTCAGTCTTTGCTCATGGAGCTTGGAGTAAAACCAGTTACAACTCCTTGTTTGTGGCATGATAATCTTGGTCCTACTTACCTTTCTGCCAATCCAGTGTTTCATGCCAAGACAAAATATATTGAAATAGATTTCCATTTTGTCAGAGAACGTGTTGCTAACAAACTATGGACGTTCGTTTTATTCATTTAGGAGATCATATTACACACGGCTTCACCAAAGCATTGCCTGCAAGAGAGATTGAGAAATTTAGACATAATTCAACTTGACCAAGTTCTGATTAAGGGGGTATGTTGAAGGTATCCTACGGCGCCATACTCCGTTAGGGGTATTCTGTTATAGAGATAGAATATAATCATGTTGTTTAACTTATCTCTCTCTATCTCTCTCTATCCCTTGTACTCCCAGCTATGATTAGCTTAAACGGTATGCCCCTATGGGATAAGCCCCATCATATCAATAAATACCCACACACGGCCCTCTACGGATGGTAGAACGTTTCCCACAATTTCTACAGGAGGCAGCAACCTTAACCTCATTTACGAAGGAACTTTGCAAAAAATGCAGTTAGACAAGTCCCCCCTCCAGGCGAGCAAAACTATCTCTAAAGCCATTATCCCTAGGAAAGAAGTACTCTACACCAGAAAAGTCATGCTAGACGTGCTATTTAGAACTCCCGATAATTATTGGGTCGAATCGTTAAGCTTCGATATAGTCCCATTCCGGAGTGGCTAACAGGCGCTACTGGGTCGATCAACGTTTGTCAAGTTCAACGTCGTGCCCCACTATGCATACATGAAATCATAAATGCCTAGGCCTAACGGCATGATCACAATAGATGGTGACCCTGGTCGATCATTTAAATCTGGGGACAAGGCTACAACTTTGGCCATTGAGATCGAATCTGAGGGTCTTAGCGGCCAAGGAGTTATCCCAGCTATGTGCAACAGTCAATAGTGATGACGTTGTCCTTGCCAAATGCTAAAAATCAACATCCTTCAAACCAGTCGACGAGATTGTCAAGTTCCAAGTTCGTCCCCAGGACCCATCTAAAATGGCTCCTACTAGAACTCGTCTGCACGCCACCCTGGACGTGGCACTCCGCGACTTTCTCCATGATAACTGGAATATATTCGTTGGCACCCGAGGGAGTCCTGGACTAGGGGGTGTCCGGACAGCCGGACTATCATCGTCAGCCGGACTCCAAGACTATGAAGATACAAGATTGAAGACTTCGTCCCGTGTCCGGATGGGACTTTCCTTGGCGTGGAAGGCAAGCTTGGCGATACGGATATGTAGATCTCCTACCATTGTAACCGACTCTGTGTAACCCTAGCCCTCTCCAGTGTCTATATAAACCGGAGGGTTTTAGTCCGTAGGACGAACAACCATTACATCAATCATACCATAGGCTAGCTTCTAGGGTTTAGCCTCCTTGATCTCGTGGTAGATCCACTCTTGTAACACACATATTCAATATTAATCAAGAAGGACGTAGGGTTTTACCTCCATCAAGAGGGCCCGAACCTGGGTAAAAACATCGTGTCCCTCGTCTCTTGTTACCATCCGCCTAGACGCACAGTTCGGGACCCCCTACCCGAGATCGGCCGGTTTTGACACCGGCATTGGTGCTTTCATTGAGAGTTCCTCTGTGTCGTCACTGATAGGCTTGATGGCTTCTTCAATCAACAACCACGCCGTCCAGGGTGAGACTTTTCTCCCCGGACAGATCTTCGTGTTCGGCGGCTTCGCACTGCGGGCCAATTCACTTGGCCATCTGGAGCAGATCGAAAGCTATGCCCCTGGCCATCAGGTCAGGTT